GGGGGGGGGGGGGGTTGTGTTGAGGTATACATATCTGTGTGTCATTTAGATTGAAATATCAGATAATCTGACCGAGGGGGATGTAGATGATGAAGAGGAGTGGGCTGAGTACATAATCTTGGGGAATACCTTGTGTGACTCTGGATGGTAAATGGACTTGCATTTGTATAGCACCTCTCTAGTCCTCTGATCACTCCGACCATTCCATGTCACATCATTCACCCTTTAGCACACCACCTGCCCATCGGGACCCTAAACTAATTCATACACCAACAGGAGCCATTTGGAGTTCAGTAGCTTGCTCAAGGACCCTTTTGAACAGATTGAAAGAAGTCCAGCTCTACGAACACTGAGGTCTGAGAGCGCCAACACACTGCCAAAAGAAATCCAACGGAGCAAGAAACAAGGACAGTCAGACAACAAGCCTGCAGCTTAGCCAGAGATTAGCTTCTTTATTAAGAGGCAACACTGAAGGGGAGCGCACCTGAAATGTTGCTAATAATCGTATTCGTATTCGTTTGTTTCTGTACTTCTGCTCTGGTTTATGCTGTTAGATGCTTGTTTAAAGGAGATGCACTGATGACTTCTGGTGACTAGTAGTTCTCTTGAATACCGATGTTGAATACACTTAATGTAAGTCGCTTTGGATAAAAGCGTCTGCTAAATGACTGTAATGTAATGTAATGTAATGTAATGTAATAATAATCATAGCACAGGGAAAGCTAATGTAGCGGGTTGGGATGTAAACTGTGATGGATGTTTTTACCTGACAGTTTAGGTAATCATTTTACTGTCCACTTACAGGTTTATTGATATCACCACATTCCTTATGTTTTAACAGCAGACCTCTCTCAATAGCTCTAAAGTAATGAGCCAACACAATAAAGTTGGCCACATAGTGGCATGAGGCACAATAACATCTAAGATGTTCTTGCTTGGCCCATAGCTTAACTTTCCATCAACCTTTCCTACACGACCCTTTGTAAAGCGTTTAAGAGAACCCTAACCCTTATAACTAACAAGCCAATGCACAGGGCACGCACCAAAACCTCCTCGGTGGGAGTAATCCCAAACGTTTCCAAACATCATGTAATGTCTTAGATTTAGTCTGAAAATATGCAAAAAACATGTAAAGAACTGAAGTTATGATGCACACAACAAAACTGTGTCTCCATTTCTCAGTTGGACCACAACACAGATGAGTAGATGGAGAATATACTGTGAACCGATCGTACAGTCTAGGAAAATAATAGCAGCTTTTTGGAAAATCAAAACACTGCTCGGTCTGTGTTTCTGTGTAATTATTCAATAATAGTTTCTAAACTGATACCACAACAAGGCGTTTGCTTCTGTTTTAATTCCATAAAACGTGTTTTTCACTGAACAAAATGAATGAGACTTCTGTATGACACAAGGGAGTGAATGATCCAATGAATCAACTCTACCTCTTAAAAGCAACACAACGTAGCCTGTTAATGTTAACGGGTTAAAGGAGAATGCAGAGAATCTCCCAGTGGCTGAAAGGGAGGAGTATTTTACAAAAATAAGTTTAATAAATTATGAAAATTGTGGCGCACGTTTGACAGTTTTGTGGAGACCTATGATGTACTGAACGTACACAGGTTATCTGAGGACGTAGAAGGACCTGAGTGATACATTTGTGTATTTTAAGCTGCGCCTTCATATTCCCCATCTTTATGTTATGTTTATTTATTGTATTATTGATATTATTATTTTTTGTTGGTTAATTAGCATCTTGTATTTATTCCATTGTTGTCCATGATTTGCCTTGATCCTTCTTACTGACAATGATAATAAAAATATGTTTCAACAAAAAAAAATAAGCCAAACTTTACACACAAGCAACTGTACAAAGACTGCCTGAATAAAAGGACAAGCAGACTACATTTGCAGCGTACTCTTGTTTATGAGTCAAATTTGAATTTGGCCAGACCTTCCATGCAAATATCACCAAAGAAAACTGTTGAGGTTCGACAACCACCCCAATCAAACCAGTGAGTGTAAGAGAAGTACAGGATACAGTCTGATAGGATGTTTCCTCCGACCCAAAGAGGAAGTGGCATCAGGGCAATAGGTAGAACATGAGAGCAGGCAGCAGGATGGTGAACATACCTCCAGGTGATCTGGTACTGTGCTCCTGCTGGGGTGCCAGGGCCAGGATCCCAGTGCAGGACATGCTGGAAGTTGACAGAGCTGACTTTGAGATTGACCGGAGCAGGAATGTAGCTGAGCACTGTGTGAACAGGTGAACACGATGCAGTGTGACTCACACACAGCTGATGACAGCACAAAGTGCAGAGACACGCCCGACAGGAAGAACGGTATCTCAGGTATTCAATCTCTGCTGCTGTAAAATGTAAACTTATCTGAGTGAACTTGGTTTACTCACCGGGGTCAAGAAGTATAGCGAGATAAAGCACGAGAGGCCACCCGTCCATCCTGTCTCACACAGCAGCAGACTGCGGCGTGTCCTCCGGAGAGCGCATGATCGGTGCTGTTTGAACCCAGACAACATGTTCCTTATGTCCGCTATGAAGCACTCACACACACCGCTGGACCTTCTTTATTATATGATATACCTACATGTCTCTCTCTTCACTGTCTCATCTTTTACTTATTATACAACAGCCTTTATGGACGTTCAGTTAAAGCGCATTGGAGTCATTACAGAAGGTTAATATCAATAATAGTACGCGAACTGTTCCAATGCTGAGCTCATGCACTTATTGACACTTAGGTAAAGTTAGAAAGATATTGACAGATTCGGACTTCCCAGTTCAATAAATCGTTAACGAAACGTTGCTAAAATATCTTTCTAACTTTACCTAACCCTTATTGACCGTCACTTCTCTAGAGACCTGTCTTAACTGATGCACCAATATTCCACAACAAAGGAGTATTAACGTGATATGAAATACAGAACACAGATGAGCACTTTTCTCACGGAGTTCATGCTTGTTGCTGTGAACAGCTGATGTTCTATACTAATAATGATGTTACAGCTACGTAACGTTACAGTAACGACAGCCTCGAGCGGCTGGTTCTGAATGTTTAACTTGTAAAGTTACAGAAGTGTTAGCTAACAACTAGCACAAAACACAAACACACACACATCCTCTGTCATGATATCGACTGTTCGGTGACTTACCAACACACACCGCTTGTGAGAGTCGTTTCAATGTCCGAGAAGGAAACGCGACCGACTTGGAGAGCAGCCCGTACAGTAGTGCTTGTTTCCGGCTGCTGCTGACACTCTGCACCAGGGACTCTCCGGAGCGCAGATACCCCCGGAGGGGGCGTGGCCATGAGGCCGCATCTCGGTTGTTGTGAACATAATGTGGATGAATAAACAAAGACTGGGTTGTATTTCATAGTGTATTTATATTTACTTTAGCTACCAGTAGACATGTTGAGCAGCCAGTTCTCTCGAGTTTGTTAATGAGACAGCGAAAGGTCCCGAAAGTTATTTTCCTCCAGACTAGTCGGTCTGTAAAATGCCATTTGACTGTCAGAATGTTTGGAAGGTACGTGGGTCTGGTGTTTACTTTGATGACTATGGAACGCAAGCATCGCTCATAAACTGTGTTCACGTTCACTTCTCCCATCTGAGTTATAAACTCCTCACGTGACACAGACACAGGACACTGACTCTCAGTGGGGCGTCTTGCTGTGAACTGTCTCTGTGTCTTTCTCGTTTCACGATTCTGTACCTCCTCGAGGCAACAGGCAGTTTACAGATCTCGCTCCGGAGCCGTCATTTTAAAGCGACATCAATTAAATATGACGTATGGCACAGCTGCATACAGTGGGAATGAAGAAGAGAGGCTTTGCTACACATGAGTCAAACTGTAACTAGATCCAAACTATTACAAATGATTATGAATGAGATTTTAAACGCACCCATGTTATCTTCTCAATCTCTTAAGTTCTAAATGGACTGTCTTTCCCCCTAAAATCACAAAGGCTAATTTAAGGCTGCATGTAAACACATGCAGTATTGATTTTCCATGATACAAACTCTGTCATGTTTTAATGAATGCTTACATTTTCATTTATGAAGGTCAAAAGCAATAATGAGGGTAGTTGTCATTGGAAATTAAATATGAGATACCAACTATATATATTTATGACTGTCTGTGTATTGGGTTTATATAGGGGAAACCCACACAGGGGTTCCCCTGTAGTGGGTATCTGCATGGTCATGACTGAAAACCTTGCATTACCATCTGCCTACTGTATTTCTATTATTATCAAATGCTGCCAAATGTTCTATCTGTTGTGCATGAGGTGTGACAAATATACATTTCAATCTTTCCATTCCTCTATTTCACACGTGTCAAACTCAAGTCCCGCGGGCCGAATCCGGCCCGCCACGTCATCTTATGTGGCCCGCGAATCCACCAGAAAAAAAAAATTTAAGTTGGACTTGAAAATAAAAGTATCCCCATGGTCAAAATTATGAGATAGAAAGTTGAAATTATGAGATAGAAAATTGAAATTATAAGATAGAAAATTGAAATTATGAGATAGAAAATTGAAATTATGAGATA